TTCAGGAAGACCTGAGTTCAAATCCAGCCTCAGACACATAACACTTAATAGCTATGTGACCCTGGGCAAGTCACTTAACCCCCACTGCCCAACCAAAAAATAAAAAAAGATATACATACACACATATACACAGCCAGATATATATGATCATTTATAATTCTGGCTTCAATGTGGAAAGGTTGCTCTATTTGGAGTTGGGAAACATTTTTTTTTTTAATATTGCCTCTGCAGTAACTCATTACCTGTGTAACTTGGGACAAGTAACTTTATCTATTAAGGCCTCAGTTTCTTCACCTGTAAGAGGGTGGGGGAGGGGGACATGGGCCACCTCCAGTCATCTTGACGTTTGTCCTGCCTTCAGACTCAGCTGCCTCTGGATGACAGAATGAGGCTGACAACTCTGCAGGGCTCTGCCTCACTTAAATGCAATTCACGCCAAGTCAAGACATCACTTCACGATGTCATTGGTCGTCTCTGAGAAGGTAGGACAAACAACAACTGGAAGGGATTGGACCAAATGAGCTCTGAGGTCCCCTCCATCTCCAAAGCCTTCTACGAGCCTTCCATCCTAGGATTTTGTATGCTTCGGAGAGGAAACCCTGCGAAGAAGAGAAAGCGTGTGCCCAGGCTTGGGTGAAGGAGCCATCTCAATGACAGGCAGGATGCTGAAAGCCTCAAGCAAGAGGACAGGATGCACCAGTTACTATAAGAGCATTCATTAAATAAATACAGCACTGTTGCGCCCTACGCAGAGCTCAGCAGTACTCCAGGACTTGTCATCAGTCCAAACCACAGCCCTTTTTAATTTCCAAAGAAGTCATTAGATAATCAGGAGACCACCCTCCAAAAAGATTAACAGACAGAGTTTCCACTTAGGCTCTCCAGAAATTGGGCCATGGTGATAAGGACTGGAGAGCTTTGTTTTATCAGAAAGAATATTTTCTTCTCTTTTTTTCTTCTTCTTCTTGTTTTTTTTTTTTTCATTAGGCAGTGGGGTTACGTGACTTGCCCAGGGTCACACAGCTAGAAAGTGTTATGTGTCTGAGGATGCATTTGAACTCAGGTCCTCCTGAATCCAAGGCTAGAGCTCTATCCACTGTACCACCGAGCTGCCCCCCAGCAAGAATATTTTCATTTAAGTTGCTGATGTTCCTTTTTTTTTTTTTTAAAGAACTCCAGAGAGAAGGCAAGAAGGGATTAAGACCTAAGTACAAATCTTGCCTTTGATGCTTATTCCCTGTGTGACCCGGAGGGCAAATCAGTTCACTTCCCTGGCCCTGTTTCTCCTTCTACAAAATGACAGGCTTAGACAAGATGGTCTCTGCAAATGAGATAATACCTGCAAAGCACTTTGTAGGTGGGCAGGCACACAGTAGGCATTTAATAAATGTTCCTTCCCTCCTCTTGTTCTCCCCTTGCAGCTGTGCACCTGGGACCAGACTGCCAAAGAAGGGACAAGTGATCAGTAGTGGGATTGGCTTATGCGTGGCCAGGGTGACCCAGTTTTAAAGATAAATAAAAAGAACCAATTTGGCATTAAAAAAAAAAACCAAACCCATCTCAAGATCGAATAACAATGCACGAAATACTATTAACAGCTGCCTTTTTGATGAATGATGACATTAAAAAAACCCCACCCAATTTGGAAATGCATTCCTTCTGTGCTTTCCAAACACAGACTTTTTCATCATTTCTACTTCAAAATGGAATAATACCTGCAGAGAAACTGCATTAAGTCACAGAACAGTGAAGCCTTGGGAAATACTGTCTCAATAACCAACAACAGGAAAAGATATGACCGTACATCTTAGCTTCTCCTCCAGGGCCTGAACAGCAAGCATTTTGATGTTGGTTAAGCTGAATTAATACTACCCATCCCAGCGGGGAGGAGGGGCAAGGAACAGGGCTTTAGTGGAAAGGATGAGATAGATGTTTGAGCTGCTGGTAACTAAGGCACGTCCATTTCATCACACCAGGCCCAGAGCTGGAATTTCTTAATCTTTTTTGGTGTCATGTCTGGGGAAGCCTTCTCAGAATCATGTTTTTAAATACACAAAGTAAAACATGAGGATTACAATGGAAACCGATCACATTGAAATATGGTTATTAAAATATTTTTAAAAAACAAGTTCATGGGCCCCAGATCAGGAGCCCCTCTACCACTAAGGCAGAGACAGCTGTTATCTCTATCGGTGGAGGGAACATACAGTGGGATCAATCACAGATGCTGGGCTTATCTCCCCCTATTTGGGGTTTGCTACCACATAAACATGGCTGTTTCCCATATAGGGACTCCATTTTGGAGGTAGAGAGCTATCCATTGCTGATGCTTCTTAAGGAAAGCAAACAAACAGAAGGGGCAGTGAATGAGTGACATTGAAAAAAAAAAGTTCATTTACTGAAAAACTCAAACCTCTCAAGGTACTACATTGTTGACCTGGGCCTACCTTAGGCCATGTTCCCCGGTTCTGCCCCGTTTTCAGATTGCCAGTCCGTCTGCCCAGCCCCACCTCATTATTAGCCTGTACTGACCCCCTTTTCTACTCTTGTTTTTGTCCCCTCACTGAGACATTACTGGGGCAGACTGCTCTTGCCCAGACTAGACCAAGAGAATCTTTCTCCCTTATGACCCTCACATCCTGAGGGATAGCTACGATCATCGCCATTTTCAAGATAAGAAACTGTGACACAGACAGGTTAAATGACTTGCCCAAAGTCACTCAACTGGCAGACTGAGTAGCTCCAAATCTTGTGACCTTTCCACTTCACTCCCATTAAAGTTATCCATTAACAGGACTACAAGAGACTGAAAGGGGAAGATTAAAGCCAGCCAGACCCTCACTTATCACCAGCTACTGAAATGGGGGGGAACCCTAATCATTTCTCCAAGGGTTTTTAGAAAATAAAATATGAAATTTTTTGAAGGTAAAAAAAAACATTCTAAGAGCTCCAGACACTACACAGGTGAAATGTTAGCACCCCCGATCCCCCACCCAAAAGAACAGTAATTACAAAGAGGGCCTAGTAATTCTTGTCAAATGAAAAACCAACAGATCTGCCACACAATATGTTAGAGTTAGAAAAAATAATAACAAGATTCATTTGGAAAAACAAAAGGTCCAGAATATCAAGGGAACTAATGAAAAGAAATGCAGGGAAGGTGGCCTCAGACATTTACTAGCTGTGTGACCCTGGGCAAGTTACTTAACCTGTTTGCCTCAGTTTTCTCATCTGTCAAATGTGCGAGAGAAGGAAATGGCAAACCACTCCAGGATCTTTGCCAAGAAAACCTCAGATGGGGTCATGAAGAGTCGGACAGGATTGAATAACAAGAAGGAGCCCATAGGGTTTACTAGTCAATGCCAAAGGCTTTAGGACACAGAAAAGAAACCCTCAGAGAGGTAGCCTAGAGTGGTCCACAGTACCAAACTCAGACAGAAATGTGCAGCACTAAACTGTAAAGATCCCAGCAGGCTACATGGTGATTTAGAAAACTACATGTTAAAATTGTGTTTTATTGAATTTTTTAAATTTTTAAATATTTTGTACACAGTAACAGCCACGGTGTGCAAGGACTAATGTTAATAGACTTAGGCCTTCTCAGCAATGCAAGGATCTAAGACGTTTCCAAAGGTCTCATGATGGAAAACGCTAACCACATCCAAAGAAAGAACTGTGGAGTTTGAATGCAGATCAAAGCATACTATTTGCTTTTTTTTTCTTCTGTTTTGTTTTGTTTCCTCTTTCTGGTGGTTCCTCCTATTGGTTCTAATTCTTCTTTACAACATCACTAATGTGAAAATATGTTTAGTAGGAATGTACATATATATAGCCTATATCAGATTGTACGCTGTCTGGAGGGGTAAGGGGGGAGGGGGAGAAAAATTTAAAAGTCAAAAGCTTATGGAAGTGATTGTTGATAAATCAAAATAAATTAATAAAAAAATAAATTAAAATTTTTTAAAAAATATTTCCCATTTACATTTTAATCTGGTTCAGGCTGTCCCCAGGAGTGGCTCACATTTTGGCTATTTCTGTGTAGTGGACAGAGAGCTGGAATTGGAGCCAAGAACACGTGGGTTCAGATCCCACTTCAGACACTTGAAGAGCCGTGTGGCCCTAAGGAAAACATTTACCTTCTTTGGCGACTGATTTTTCATCAGTAAGATGAGGGGGTTGAACCTGATAGCCTTTGAGAGGGCATTTAGTGGGTCTAAATCTCTGATTCTATAGTCATAAATGGTTTACGCTCTGCTGTGGTGATGCACCCACCAAATCACAAAGCCCCAACTTACTGAATCATGTTGTACATGGAAGGCACCTTGAACTTACAGGGTCCCTCCCCTTGCATCTCTAACACTCACGTTGCATCTCAGACATGAACAACAATAAAGTCAGTTATGACAATGAGAGGTGAGCCATGGGGGAATGGACTTGGAGTCGGGGAAGGCCTGGCAACTCAGTTACAGAGAAGGTGCTGATATGCTTTGATAGGGGGAATTTCTTCACTATGAAATTACAGTTCCTGTCCTCTGTCCTCTCCCCAAACAAAAGCCTAAAATCCTAAACTCTCACAAATGCCATGTTGTTTTAACACACAAGCTTTGGAGTCAAGAAGACCTGAGTTCAGATATTGCCTCTGAACACATTACTAACTGTGTGACCCCGGGCAAGTCACTTAACCTCGTTTATCTCAGTTTCCAAATGGAGATAACAGCATTTACCTCACAGAAGTGTTGGGAGGATCTAATGAGATAATATTTGTAAAAGCACTTAGTAGGTGCTATATAAATGCTTATTCCCTTCCCCCTTCCTACTTACATGCAATTGCAAAAATCATTTTATCCACCTTTGTAACAGCTCACCAAACAACAAATATAAATAGGATAATACACTGTCCCTGGACCATTTATATCCAAGATCGATTTAGCACAAAGACAAAACAAAATGACCAGGACAATAATAATAACAGTTAAATTGAACGTCAATTTTTTTTTTACCTGGAATGCAGAGGTCCCAGTGCTTCCTGGAGCTGGCTACTGGAGGTTACATATGGATCTTCCATCTCATATACATTTGCATCACTGTCTTGCACGGTGTTCGGATTTTGCCACTCAGAATCTGGAGTCCTACGTGTAGCCAAGGTAAATGGCAAATTTTCGTATTCTGGGGTTTCCTCGTAGCGACATATGTTTTCATACTCTGGGGCACTGTTACTTACTCCAGAATTAAAAGGAGTTGATGGTGTTTCCCTGGAGAGCATCTGGTCATCCAAAGATTCAGCCTTGGGACCATTAGGAAAGTCTACCTGACTCTGATACATCCTCCTCTTCTTGTGGGAGGCTGGGCTGTGTGTTTCTGCAGAATATGCCTTAACTGGTTTACCCCTCTTTTCATCTACCTGCTGACTGTTATCAATTCCCCTGCTTTCCCTACTGGAAGGACGACCGGGAGCCGTCTCTCCAACCTGGCTACCCTTTGACAAAAACCTCTGAAAGTCACTCTTCATAAAACAGATGGACAATTTCATGTTAAGCAACTTCTTCAAGGAATTTTTCTTCTGAGGGTCTTTACAAGGTTTATTGCATCTGTCCATGTCCACAGCTGACAATGACTTGGCTCTAGGTTTGGTGAGAGAAGGGAAGGACTCACCGTTGGAAGACAAGTTGGCAGACTTAAAAGATTCTGGATTCCCTGGAAAGGGCAGAATAGGATGAGGTAATTTCCATACTGGCTTTTCTGAAGTTTTGATAAGTTTTGGCATGTCAAATGAAGAAGACATACCATGCTCTTTGCCGGCCAAATGCCTAAGACAAGATTTGTCCAGTATCCCCTCTGAGCTCCTCTCTTCATCACAAGGGTAGGAACTATTTTCTAAGAGTTCCTCAGAGGCGGCTTTTTTAAGACGTCCAGCAGCTGGCAAGCTGTGCCTTTGAGGTTTTTTGGGGGCAATTTTTATGGGATTTTCATCACTGATAGTAGCCTCTTTGTCAGTTTTAAAAAGAGAGCCATGCAAGGAATTGGGGGCAGGCAAATGTTGGTTGTAAGTCAGCTTCAATTGTGTCGGCAAACTCATCGACTGCATATTGCATTTTATAAAACTGGCCCTTCTGTCCTCGTGGGATGACACGTTAGCATCAGCTACTGTGTTACCTTCTGGATGGAAGCTAAAATCTGCAGGTGGACAATCTTCGACTCTTTCGACCGTGTGAGAAGTTTGGGGAGACACAGCGTTCTGGCAAATGGCTACAACTTGGCTTTCAGGAGCTATTAGATTTGTGCATTTTCTGTTCCCAGAGTCTGAAGTCAATTCACTCTTGCTTCCTCGTTCTTCTTTTTCATCAGGTTCGTGGTCACACAAAACGCCGGTCCCCAGAAGAGTGATTGTATTTAATTTTTTGACATGGTGTTCAACAGGAGGAGAAGAGTCCATCTGTGAATCACCTAGCTCTTCGTGGCTTTCACTCGGAGCATCTATATACGCTTGCCGCATCAGACGAGCAGCCCGGAGCATTCTGGGCTTCGGGGTCGGAAGACTTTTGCTACATGGTGCTGAGGGCTTTCCTGAGGGACTGTCGTCCTCAGCTTCTGATTGCTGACTCTCTCCTTCTCGAAACTGAACACCGCTCTCACCATCATTTTCCCCGGCTTCCTGGTCAGATGAGCAAACACCGTTAATGCTGATTTCTGGACAATCCTGACTGGTCTCAAGGATCTGGATACCATCCCCAGGAAACTTTACGTGGTAGTTATGGTTCTGTGGGACTTCATCAAAACCAGAGAGAGATTGTGATAAAGCTGCAATATCGACATTGAAGTCCCCATTGGCATCACGGCTCCCGTCCATTTCCAGACTGTTGGTAGGTCCGTGCTTTAAAGGGGAAGCTGCAGGGGAGGACCCAGTGGGTGTAAAAAAAGCATCTTTCAGTTTGTCTTCCTGAAGGCTAGCTTTTAAACCTGCTCGGTTCCTATTTTCCACTTTTTCGCTATGAGCATCACACTTTTTCTGAGCTTTCGGAACTGACAGGGGGTCCCCAATGTTGATGTTTTCTAAGTTTTCAAGTGTTTCGAGATGCTCTAAAACAATGTGTTTAACACACGAATTGTCTCCACTCCCACAGTTATGGATACATTCAGTATTTGATGGACACACTGGTAGGATATAAGGAGATCTCTTGTCATCTCCATTCCGACATGTAAGCTTGTCCGAGTGTTCTAATGATTCCTGCTTATGTTCCTCCAGGACAACAATGCTTTTCCTGGATGGGGACAGCCTGCTGTCAGGAACCGGTGAGCCCTTTGGGACTTTTGGCTTGGGGGCAATGGCGGGTTTTGAGGTCTTTGTTGAAAGGAGGACATTAGAAACCACAACATCCGGTTTGGGTGCAATGGGAGGCGGTGCAGGTTTATTTCCTACCAAAAACTTGGGCTTGGGAGCCAGGGGTGGCTTCTTAGTTTCTAGAAATAAAGAAAGAAAGAAAGAAAGAAAATTTTAATAAAAACAATAGCTCACAATTTTCACAGTGCTTTCAAGGTTCACAGAGCACTTTACAGACATTAATTCTCATGTGTCCCCACAACTCTGCTACAATTCCCATTTTACAGATGAAGAAACTAAGGCTGAGAGAGGGGAAGTCAGTAGGTTGGTCAAAAAACATTTATTAAGCACCTACTACGTGCCAGGCACTATGCTAAGCACCAGGGATACAAAGAGAGGCAAAAGATAGTCTCTACCATCAAGGAGCTCACAATCTAACAGGAAAGGCAATATGCAAACAACTTGGCACAAACAAGCTATATATGGAGTAAAGAAGAAATAATCAACAGAAGGGAAGCACTAGAATTAAGCTGGCCAGTGTAAACTCTGCTCTTCCTGACTCCAAGTACAGCACTTTATCGATGGCACCATTTTGCTGCCTCTTCTGAGGCAGATAAACAGATCCAGCATCCTTCCTTCCAGGACGTCAGGATCACAGATCTAGAGATATAACCTTAGAGGTGATTCAGTCCAATCCACTCATTTTATCCATACAGATCAAGTGACCGGTACAAGGTCACAGAGTTAGAAAGTATATGACCAGTAGGTGGCAGGGTGGATAGATCATGGGGCCTGGAGTCAGGAAGACCTGAGTTCAACGTCGGCCTCAGACACTTGACACTTACTAGCTATGTGACCCTGGGCAAGTCATTTAACCCCATTGCCTAGCCAAAAAAAAAAAAAAGTCCATGACTGCTACCTGTTGTTTTTTTTTTTTTAACATTTATTTATTTATTTTTGGGTGAGGCAATTGGGGTTAAGTGACTTGCCCAGAGTCACACAGCTAGTGAGTATCATGTATCTGAAGTCAAATTTGAACTCAGGTCCTCTTGACTCCAGAGCTGGTTCTCTATCCACTGCGCCACCTGGCTGCCCCTACTGCTACCTGTTAAAAATAACATTTCCAGCCTGTTCCAGAGACCTTTACTTGGTGATTTCCTTTTTGAGAAAAGAAATATTAGTTATTATACTCTGTAAGTAGTGAATGTTGAGTTGAAAGTGAAAAAAAATGAATGTTCAAACACCGCATTTGACAATTATTAACCATTTGACCCCCCGCAAGTATTCCCACGTATCTCCCGTTGAACTTGGAGACCAAACAATAGACATGTTAGTCAAGAGATTTCTCACATCAGGGGTTCCCCATTACATTCAGCAAATCTAAGATCAAAGGCTGCTTGGCCGTAGGATTTAGTGGAAGGGGAAAAGGGACAAGTGTTTATGAAGTGTCTAATGTGTGTCTAAGTACTTTACAAATATTATCTCACTTAATCCTTACAACAATTCTATGTTGCTCAGTGTTTTTCAGTCATGTCCAACTCTTCTTGACCCCATTTGGGGTTTTCTTGGCAGAGATACTGAAGTGGTTTGCCATTTCCTTCTCTAGCTTATTTTACAGATGAGGAAACTGAGGTAAACAGAGTTAAGTGACTTGTCTAGGGTCACACAGCTAGCAAGTATCTAAGACTGGATTTGAACTCAGGTCTACCTGAGTCCAGGTTCAGCACTCTATCCACTGTGCCACCTATCTGCCCCAACAACCCTATGAGGTAGGTGCTATTATGACTCCTATTTTACACTTGAGGAAACTGAGGCAGGCAGATGTTAGGTGACTTGCCCAGGGTCTCACAGTTCGTAAATGTCCTACGCCATATTTAAATTCAGTTCTTCCAGACTCCAGGCCAGAGCTCTTATCTACTGCACTTAGCTATTTAAAGAAACAAGAAGAGGAAGAGTATGTCCTTTTCTTTGTCACATCAACCAAGAATCCACGTGCTTAAGAAAAGTAGCCAAATACTAGATGATATATCACTCAATCTAGTTGCTTTACCAAATGAAAGGGAAGCAATTAAATATTTGTAAAATAATTTCATAAGAGCTTCCAAAGTCAGCTTTGAAAATGTATATAATATAAAATAAATATGTAAATATAATTGTACAAATATTAAATAAATACACAATTAAAATAATAACATGAATATGTATGTACACGTGTGTGGTATATGTACATGTACATATATGTATCCATACTCGTACATGTGTATATGTGTGTATAAATACATGCATACATGTATGTACATATACACACTGGTATATATGCACCCGTGTGTTGCATGTGGACACGTGTGTATGCATATATTGCGCACACATGTATATCGAAACACGTCTATCTAAACGCACATGTGCATGCGTGCGCATATGCACGTGTATGCACGTGTGTGACCGTGTACATGTGCATATGTGCGTGTATGAATTCATGTCTGTATGTGCATGTATACACGTGTGCGCACGTGTGTGCATATGCATGTGTATATGCTCGTGTATACATGCACATGTGTATGTGTGCGTGCATGTGTGCATGTGTATGCGTATTTATTGTATATATGGATATATAAAGTATTACTGATATTCATCATATAAAGTCAGGAAAGCTAGGGGAGGCAATGGGTAAAGCTGAAAAACCATTTGCCTGGAGTCAAAGCCCCTGGAATCAAAACCTACCTGTGATGCTTACTTCCTATTCGACTCTGACTTGGCTTCAGTTTCCTCAGCTCTAAAAGCAGGGGATTAGACCAGATGGCCTGTAAGATCTTTCTGGCTCTCAAGCTAAGAATCAAATCTTTTCCAAATCAACTCAGGGGATTCTTTTGTCAAGATACTTTCAGCCATGGACCGAAAGCCTTAGGTCCCTTTCCCCCTCCTACTCACCCCTTGTCAAAGATAAAGGAAATCTGAAAGACAAAGTCATGTTCAATTCAATTCAACAAACAAATATTAAAAGCTAAGGACATACACTGTGCCAGGTAGCAGGAATGTAAAAATAAATATGATCCCAGCCTAGAGCTCCTGGTTTAAGAGGACGAGAGGGAAGGAGGGACGGGTCCATAAAGAACAAGGAGGTTAGAGGAACGATGAGACAGTGCAAAGGGCTAGGACAAACCGGAAGACAAAGAAAACACTTCACCGAGGGCTTCATGGAGCAGGTGGCCCCTGACTTGGATCTTTAAAAGAATAGGGAGAAAAGTTAAGTGATAAGGCACCAAGAATATAATGGGGGGGGACCCCTTAGGGAGCTTCAAATCTATCCAAAGACACAATATGGACATACGTAAATTTAAATAAAACATATATAAAAATAAATACGCTGAAATGATACAGAACAGATGATAAATGCCTGACAGGAGCGGAAGGCACTAGCACTTAGGGAGATTAGGAAAGGTATCACGTAGAAAGATGTCTTGAAGGAAACACGGCGTCCTAAGAGGATGTGTCTCATTCATTCATTCAACAAGTATCTATCCAGGACAGATGATGAGCCAGGTACTGTTACAGGAAGGGGGAGGGGATGGCCAGCACAAAGATAAAGAGAGGGAAGGCAGAGCACCACATGAGAAGCAACAGGAAGGCCAGTCTGGCTGGACCACAGAGTGCAATGAGTTTGGAAAAGTAGATCAGTCCCAACTGTTTAAGGCACCCAATTTCACAAGCATTGAACTAAGTGCCTCCTAGGACAAAGCATCAATCTGGTCAAGGAGGAGAGCGTGAATGAAGACTCTGATCAGTCAGTGAGACGGCATAAATGCAGAGGACACAAAGTTTCAGTGGCACACAGAGTTTGTGAAAGGGAATCACATGAAAGAAAGCTGGAAAGATAAATTGGAGATAGAATGAATCCCAGGGCCAGGAGAATTTATACTAAGGCTTCTGGCCAAAGGAGTAATCCAATCCAAAAGGTACAAAGGATGAAACTCCTTCGTGTTCATTTTGCATATATTCAACAATGTATTTCTTTATACTAAACATATATGGTTCATGTATACACACATATGTATGTATATTCATTTATGTATACATGTTGTGTCCACCATTAAAATGTAAGCTCTACAGGGGCAGGGCAGTGATGTTTTCATTTTATATTTGTATTATAGAAGAGACAGATTAGAGGGAGGCCCAAATATGTGTTCATAGGGGGCAGCTAAGTGGTGCCATAGTGGATAGAGCACCAGGCCTGGTGTCAGGAAGACCTGAGTTGAAATCTGGCCTCACTTACTAGCTATGTGACTCTGGGCAAGTCACTTAACCCTGTTTGTCTCAGTTTCCTATTCTATAAAAATGAGCTAGAGAACAAAATGGCAAACCACTCTAGTATCTCTGCCAAAAAAAACCCACACGGGGTCATGGAGAGTTAGACATGACTGAAAACAACTAAACCACAAAAATGACACCTTGGTAAGGGTGAATGGAGGTGAAACAAATTGCATCTCTAAAGTAGAATATTTTGAAAAGTTGGCAGGGAATATTACCTTTAATAGCACTGGGTTATCGCTTCATAATTTAAAAATAGGCTTTTTTTTTTTTATAACCATGCTAGACTCCAATAGTAACTGGGTTAGCAGAATTTCCAGGGCTTTCCTCCCCAGTGCTTAAACCCAGAGAGTCACGGGGAGGGAGTCTTTGAATTCCCAACCCTGAGCAATATCGCTCAAAGGACAACATCAACAGTATGGTGTGCATGCTCTCAAGTCCAAAACACATGAAATAACTGTTCATCAGTGTCTGGACGCCAGCCAGACCCGGGGACCTCAAATTCTGGATTCAGTTCTATGGCATCTTCTGAAAGAGATGCTACAAACCTTTTATTTATACAGCTGCTCAACAAGCTAAGAACACCAGAAATATATAAGTAAATAGTACAAACTGACTAGTCAGCATCTGGACAGAGTGGCTCTGCAGGTGGCCGGGTGGGCTTCTACACATTGGTAATGTTAGTGACTCGGTGTCCAACTGTTTCGTGATTTTAGTTAGACAGAAGGATGACTTGCCAATGTTTCTGGCCTACAACCACACAGTTAATAAAGCTCTGAGGCAGAGATCTAAGCAATCCATCAACAAGTATGTAATAAGCCCCAACTATATATACCTTGATGAGTGAGACAGTGTCTCCTTGTGAGCTCCCTTACTATTGCTTTGAACCCAGGTGCTCCTAGCAAACAGTAATGAATAAATAAATAAATAAATAAATACATGCAGAAAACAATAAAACAGAATTGCTCCCATGTACAGTATCACGGATGATCTTTTGCTTTTAATACATTGCATTTTTTTAAAATGCATCACTAAACATTATTCTAAATCCAGGTCAAAAAGTCTCTCAGCCCATTGGTAAACACATCACAACTACCTACCATAGTACTGGGCTTCTGTGTATTTTTCTTACCAAAATAAAACAATCCCCTTTCCTAACAATACTTATAAACAGATCTAGGTGAACCACTCATTTGTCCATATGGGAAATACCTTTTTAAAAGTTTTAACTAATTTTGTTGCTACTCTAAAATACACCACAAAGCAGCTGATCAACACAATATATCAACCATTCTATAGAAATGACTGGGGGCAGGGGGAGGAATGACTAGTCCTCTTCCATGTTCCTCCTTCCAGCACAATGAAGGAAGCCTCCTGACCCAACAGATGGGCTGAACAAAAAGAAATCTCAAAGCTTCTCTGTATCACCATACAAAACAACTGAGTAATAACTAAGTTAAACACAGGAAGCCTTCCTGTTTTCAACACCACAAAAATGCTTGTGGATTTTCTGTTTATGAAGCTGATAACATTAAAACATACACAAACACACAAAAAACCAGTAATCTTTCAGTGGGATTCAACCAAACAACTATTAACGAGAATGTCATATAAAATGAGCTTTTATATCTTTAAGGTTTAAATTCCGTGTCTGCTGTGTATTTGATGTTGCCTTGCCTAAATGAAAATGTAAAAACGTTAATATTTTACAATTTGGCATGACTGAAAAAGGACCAAAAAGGGTTGGACATCTCTTGATTCCCAATCATTATGGTTTTAAATTATTTTTACTGGTGCAGTAATTTTTTAATGACCTAAGGTTTAATGACAACCTAGATGATGGAAAAAGCTAAGTCCTCAATAAGGCAAGAGTCAGTAAGAGGATATCTACATACATTCTATGGCCCCAATAGCTATTTTATAAAGTATCAAAGAGGAAATGTCTGAGATACACAGGAATAACCGACACACTCAACAATGTTAAAACTCGACTTTTCATGCAAGCTAATTAAAAAAGAAAGCTCCTGTCTAAACTCAGATTTCTTCTAGACAATCTGATTATATCTGGCAGTGCTAAATTCAAAAGTGTCTCTACTTCTGAGATAACACACATCAGGAAAATCAACAGGATTGTGTGATGGTTTCAAATTTCGCGATTTTAAACAAAAGCCTAGAAGATCTGAGAAACTTTTCACCTGATTCTTGAGGGTTGACTTTAGAAATGAAGACTTTGAAAATCTTTGCATAGAGTAAGGGGCTGCAGAGATGTCTGCTGAATTGAAGGCACTTGGAAAATGCTCTTTTATCGCTAAACTGAAAGCTTATCTTCAGCAGAGCATGAAAACTTTTTTTTTGGATAGGGTAAAGTATATGATCAAAACTGAGATTGAAAAATTAACTTTTAAAAAATCCCAATTTTCTAATTAAGTTGCAGGTCTCCTTTGTGCTCATTTCTAGAAATCCTTTTTAAAAATGCCCAAGATTAATGAAAACTAACAGCAACTTTTGCCTGTATCATTAGCGGCGGACCACGTACCTGCAAATGAAGTGTTTAAGTATATAAGGAAATTAGTCATTAAAAAGTTAACATGGGGCGGGGGGGGGGGGGACAAAAAGGAGACACTACAATCCCTTTAATGCAAGGTCCCGCTATAGGAGCCAAAACGATTGCATTATTTTAACTGGGAGGAATTCGGAGGGATACTAATAAGAAAGGCGAAATACTTGGTTAAAAAGCTACAAATATTGACCCGGCCCCTAGAGCCAAGTATTCCAGGTTAAACAGGGTGTGGAAAGAAAACAACGGCTCTGAAACAAAGTCTCCTCTGCAGATAAAGAGTTTCTGGTCTGTCCCCGAGTTTCCCAAGACTCCAGCCTAGGCAAGCAGTGAGCCGCCCGTATCGCCTCGCACAGTCCTCCCCTATAATAACTCGGTTTCTGGCTAGGGGGGTGGTTGCTCACAGTGGGGTAAAGCGGTCCCCACTTCAAAGGGGAGCCCCTACTCCGGTCCCCAAGAGTTCTGAGTGAACTGGGGCTAATCCCCGGGGCCACGGAGGACCCCACCACCACCACCCTTCCCCAAACCTTTACAGACAGGACGCAGGAGATGCCCGGAGGTGGCAAACAGCCTCGCCTGGGGAGGAAGACCATTGTACTCTGTCTGGCAGTGGTCAGTTCAGTACTTGCAGATGTCCTCTCGGTGGCTGCACGGGCTGCTCTGGGGAGAGGGAAGGGGCAGGAAACTCAAGGCTTCCCAAGTCCCCGAGTGCCCGCAGGACGCAGCTGGAGCGCTGCTCGTTACAAACTTTCCGGAGGGACGAGCGCAACCCCCAGGCACTTACCGGCGCTGGAATTCATGATTCCTCCCATGCGGGCTCTGTCCCTTCTCTCTTGCTCTTTCCAGCGCCCCTTTTTTTAATCCTCTTTAATGCATTGTCTCCAGTTTGGGGGGTTCAGGGATCAGGGTCCGCGGCCGCCGCATCACGTCCGGCAGCGCCGGTACAAAAGCAGCCGCCGGCTCCCGGGGCTCTCCCGACGCTAGCCGCCGAGCCAGCCGCCTGGCCGGCCGAGGGGCAAGGAGCACGCGAGCGCCCCCGAGCCGAGCTCCCGGGGAAGGTTGCGAAGGCTCGAGCGCCTCCCCGAACGAGCTCCGGGAGAAGATTCTCAGAGCGCTAGCGCGTTCCTCCCTCCCGCCCCCTACCCCGGCGCGTGCGGGCTCCAGCTGGCCGGGCTCCGACGGAGGCGTTCCGAAGAGCGAGCGCGCTCCCCCGGCACGCGCTCCAGAAAAAAAAAAGGAAAAGAGAAAAAAAACAACTACGAATCCCGGCCCTCTCAGCGCCCCCTAAGGGCGGCAGCGATAACAGCTAAACGTCCCGCCCAGGGGAATCTCAGGATTTCAATCATTCGTTTGCCCCCCCCGCCCCCGCCCCCGCCCCTCGGCTGTCCGGAAGAGAGGGAGAGCGAGCCGCGAGGCACGCTGGGAGTTGTAGTTCGGCGCCGCTCCGGCGCCAGGCTCGGGGCCCGCAAGTCCCGCCCCCCCGGGCTGACGGACTTCATTTCCCATCGTGCCGGGGCGGGTGGCATGGCGGAGAAGGATGACACCGGAGTTTGACGAAGAAGTGGTGTTTGAGGTAGGGGGATGATGGAGGCGGCGGCGCCGCCCGAGCGAGGGCTTGCCTCGGGGTCGGCACGGAAGGGGATGCGGGGCTGGGGGCCCCAGAGGGCTGGGCGGGGCCGCGCGGGGCGGGACAGGCTGGGCTGACAGGTGTGAGGGGAGGGCGGCGCGTCTCTATCCTTTCCCCCGCCTCGCCCGAGGGCACGCGGGTCTGGGGATCCCGGCCCAGCGCTTCCCCAGGGCCGCCCCACCTCTATGCTCACCCGGGCCTTCCCCCAGCCCCGGGCGCCCCGGACCACTCCAGCCATGCGCGCCCCCAGGTGCCCCGCCCTTCGCGCCTCTTGGCCTTCCCTTGGCTCCCGGCTCCCTAGACCACCTCCCGCTGTGCGCGCCCCCGAGGCTCCCCCCGGCTCTGGCCATCTCGGACCACTCCCACCCACCCGCCGCCAGGCGCGGCCCCGGGGCTCCCCTCGCTCTAGACATCTTAGACCACCCCCAGCTGTGCGCGCCCCCGGGATCCCCACCCCGAGCCAGGCGCTTCCCTTGGGAGCCCCCCTCCTCCACCTTCCGTCCCCCCAGCCCGGGCATCTTAGACCACCCCCCGCCAGGCGCTTCCCTAGGAGCCCCCAGCCCCAACCTCCGCGTCCCCGAGCTCTCCTCCAGCTTTGCGTGCCCCCGGGTCTGCCCCCAGCTCTGGCTGCCCACGGATCCTCTCCAATATGAAGGGATACAAGGGTGGAGGAGATCCCTCGGGACTAAGGATGCTCTGGGAGAAGCCGGTCCTCTGTGCCTGGAGGCCGCTGTTACTGGTAGCAGTCTCTGCAAGCAGCATGTATACCTGAAGCCCATGTTAGACAACCCCAACCTGAGTAAAATGTAATTGGGAAGTCTTTAAAATAATACAAATACAATAGAGCATAGATATCAATATGTGGTTCTGTAAGTCATTATGCATCTGGGTTTAGTGGATTCCCCGGTCTGTACTAAGGAATTGGAGAAGACCAAAAAAAAAAAAAAAAAACCACCCAGAAAACAGCGCCTGCCCTCAGGACACTTCTGCATTATCCTGTAGCCTCTTCTTCCGGCCAGGATCTGTGGCCTAGGGCTGGGGCTGTTGTTGGGTGTGGAAGCACTTAAAACCTCACTTTAACTGCTCTTGCTGGGCACTAGAGATGCTAATAGGAAAACAAAAGGTCCCTGATCTCCAGGGTCTTAAATTGTACTGGAGCTGCTGTTGCTGCCTTTTTGCCTGTGGCATTGGAAGTTTGCTGGGAAATAGAAGTGAGGTTAGAGCCTCTGGAGTCCTGGCTTCTTGGATCTTTTTTTTTTAAAAACCCACTGTGATTGACCTATGGGAAAATGTGACCAGAGGCAATTCTATGTGAAGCTTCTTGGGTCCCTGGGAGTGAATGTCTTAAAGGCATCATTGATGTAATAAAGGAAAAAAATTGGAGGCAAATTTCCTATTGCCAGTTTTCCGGGGAACACAGGCCCAGAGGCTCCTGATAGCCAGATGGAAGGAGGACATGTTTGAAGCTTTATTGATGATCTCACTTAGTAAGAAATCTTCCTTCGTTTAGCTATTAAGGGATGTCAACTCCAAGATTGGAGCACTAATGCTCACAAGGCAATTTTTCATAATGTATTATCTTTTCAATGATTTTCCAGTGAGTCATTGAGACAGTTGATGAGTGTGTGCCTGTTATATAACTACCATTTACAGTACAGCAAAAGCACTACTAAATTTGTGTTAATACATTGTCTTCTCTCATAGATATGAGTAGTGAATGAAATCAAAGGTCAAGTTTTAGCCAATGTGTATATATGTGTATGATTTAATACCTTCTAACATACTTGCATAGAGCAAAGTTAAAGTTGTTTATTGTGGCTTAAAGGACGCATACATATATCAGAATTAGTTCTAAAAAGATCGATTTTTTTGGCTGTAGAAATAGGTTCCTATGCATTTTGACTCAAGGATATTCATTCATTCACTTGTTTCACTGTAATTGGCCTCTAAACATGTTTGTGTCCTGTTCAAGGATATACAGTTTGACAGATGTGAAGAACTTGGAGAAATTTTGAAAGAACCACTAAGAATAATTAGAATTTAGAAAGTGAAGCCTGTGATGAAAGGAGTCAGAAATTGGGAATGTTAGCTAGAGAAAATAGACAAAACTGGTAGAGAACTATAAATATAGGTAGAAAACATTACTGCACAAAAATGGCTGTTGTCATTAACAAAAGTCATTAAATCAAAATAAAAAATTATTTCAATACTCCCGTAGCAAGGCATTTGTAGTAATGCTATGTGTAGTATGCCACTTCTGAACCTGTGAACTAAAATAATATCATGACTGAGGACTTATGAATAGTGTTATGAAAAGAAGGGTCTAGAATTGCCTTTTCTGAGCATCTTTTTAATTAAAAAAAAAGTTTAAAATAGATTCCTAGCATCCTTCTTGAAGCAACCCTGCCTTAAGATGGGGGCAGACTAGGTCAAAAGTGTCAAATGTGAGACCCACAACTCTCCCTCCAACCAGATTAAGGTGTAATTGAGAAATTTTTAGCAAAATAAATAAAAATGCAGTAGAACATAGGTGTTAATTTATGGTTTTCTAAGTCAATATGCAGCTGGGTTTAGGGACACCCTAGTGGTCCCTCTTTCTGCTTGAGTTTGATACCCCTGAACAAGATGACCTCAACATCCGTCTGATTAAAAAACCAAAATAAAGAATCCTGATTCCTTGGGGCAGCTAGATGGTGCAGTGGATAGAGCACCGACCCTAAAGTCAGGAGTACCTGAGTTCAAATCCGGCCTCAGACCAAACACTTGACGCGTACTAGCTGTGTGACCTTGGGCAAGTCACTTAACCCTGACTGCCTCACTTAAAAAAAAAAAAAAGAAGCTTGATTCCTTAATAATGATGTCTGTGCATAGATATTATATGTCAAGAAACCCCATTATAATTTTTTAAATGAATAAATAAATTTGATTTTGGCTCAGAAGATGGTAGTTTCTTTTAGAGTTTCTAAATCAAACTACTAAAGAATTTCATGGACAATCTAGACTAGAATAAAAATGACACATGAAATTCTAATATTTTGTTAATATTAATTATGTTCTCTATTAAAGTCCTGTTCAGATGCCTTTGCTGGTGAGGAGGTAGCTATATATAACTCTGTAATACCAGCAGAGCTCAAACTCTCCTCCCACATAGAAGAACTTTAAGCATGAGGCCTAACAAAGACTACATGCCTGTCTTCTGACGACCACCCTGGCTAAATCTGGAGAAGCTTATTACCAGAATGTTAGCTTTTAGTTAATGAAATTTTTAAACACAGCAGCATTTGAAGACTATCTACTGAGGTGTAAAGGGTTTGGTTGTAGATAGTAATAATGGATACTTGAAGTATTGTTAAACTATCAATTATAGAAACAGGCCACATTAAACCTAGCTCAATTTTGCCTACAATTTTCATACCTGAACATTTTTTCTTTCTTTTTTTTTTCATTTTTTTTTAACATGTGTTTTTAAAACTTTGGGTTACAAATTTTCTTCCTTCCCCTCTCCCCACCCACCCTCATTGAAAAGGCAAGCATCTTGATACAGGTTATAGATATGTAGTCATGCACAACACTTCCATAGTAGACATGCTGTGGAAAACTAAGTATATTTCCCTTCATCCTATCCTACCCCCCATTTATTCTATTCTATCTTTTGACTCTGTCCCTCCTCAGAAGTGTTTGCTTTTGATTATTCCCCCTCCCCCAACCTGCCCTCCCCTCTATCGACCCCCTGCTCTCCTTTCCCCTTCCCCCTTTATTTTCCTGTAGGGTAAGATAGATTTCCATACCCCATTGTGTATGTTATTCCCTCCTTAAGCCAAATCCTATGAGAGTAAGATTCACTCATTCCCTCTCAGCTTCCCCCATTTCTCCTCCACTGTAAAAACCTTTTCTTGTCTGTTTCATGTGAGATATTTTACCTCATTCTACTTCTCCCTTTCTGCTTCTCCCAATATAATCCTCTCTCACCCCTTAATTTTATTTTCCAGATATCACCCCTTCATCTTCAACTCACGCTGTGCCTTCTATCTATCTATACATACATATAATTTTTTTCCCTCCCACTACCCTAATACTGATAAAGGACTCATGTGTTACAAATACCATCTTTCCCTGCAGGAATGTAAACAGTTCAACCTTAATAAGTCTCTTATGATTTCTCTTTCCTGTTTACCTCTTCCATGTTTCACTTGAGTCTTGTATTTGAAGGTCAAATTTTCTATTCAGCTCTGGTCTTTTCCACAGGAATGCTTGAAAGTCCCCTATTTCATTGAATGACCATTTTTTACCCTGAAGGATTATACTCAGTTTTGCTGGGTAGGTGATTCTAGG